GGGCAAGAATGCAGCACAGAGTGAAACACGAGAGCAAGAAAGACCAAGACAAAGGAACAGAGGACAACTGTAGGAGCTGTGAGCCATGAAGACAGCAGCAGGACGTTTTTATGTAAAAATCCTACAGCAGCCGTCACAGCTTCAGCCTGAGACTGCGTGTCACTATAGTCTTAAACGACCCTGTCAGTGGTGGACTCATCACTGCAAGCTGCAGAAATCCTCATGTTTCCATTGCTGTCCTAACAGCTGCTGTGAATTATGGACAAACATCTTCACTTTGGTCTCGTCTGTCCAAAGGACATGGCCCAGCTTTGCAGACATGCTGTCATGTTTTTAGAGACGAGAGGTTGTTGTCCTAGAAACCCACCAAACAAATCGTATTCATTCTCTTTCTCTAAACGTCTGATCTTGTGTCTAAGCATGAACGTTAGAGTCTGAACATTTTATCAGTCTGATGTTGGGCTGAACGTGATGGGACAACTGTCCCTGGGAAGACAACGGCAAATAAATCTCCAGACTAGAGAGACAGAGACGACTGTTGGGGTGCAGTGGTCCCTATGGCAGCTTCAATGCTTAAAGTAAATATCTTAAACAGATGTTCTCTTGATGTGGTTTTTAAATATTTCAGCAGAACAGTGTGAAAGTGTTCACTGCATCTTTGAAAGCAGCACGTGTGTGTGAGCTGAACACATCTGTGCATCGACGAGCAGCTCGACTCTCTGTGAGGCAACAACGGGAAACAATCCTCTTTTCTCTCTGTTGAAACATTTCAAATGTTCTACTGTGAATAAAACACGGCTTCAACGGGGACCTTCAGTCATTTATTTACCTTCCATACAGCATCCCCATGGTTTTGAAACTGGGACATGTGCACTACCCAGGGACAGAGACATGACTAAAGGTCACCAGGTCCATATCAGGTGTTGGGGCTGATGGAACAATGGAAAAGGACCAGGGCTCATCTCTGATCTGTAAAACTCCTGATAAATAAGTCAGTCTTAAGCCAATGATTTGTATGTAACAACATGTCTGCACATAAAATATATTAAACTGGTTCAAGATTCTCACATTTGTCCCACGACTGACTCAAAGGTCGAAGTAACAACTGTCACATCTAATGTTTGTAGCCTGACTCGAGCAGCGCTCAGCCAATTAGAGAAGTCGTGTTCATCATGGGAACAATGTTTCCTGTGAATCCTGTGAGTATTTTCCACTCTTTCTGTGGAAGTATCCCAGGATCACAACTCCAGCGGGCGAGGGTTTCCGGCTCAGGCCACAGCTGGTCCATCAGGCAGCGGCCAACCAGAAGAGCTCTCTGTAAACGATCATCAATCACGGCTCGGGGCTGAGCTACCACCCTTCTGTTGCTCCGGGGCTGTGATTGGTTGGTAGGACGCGAACCTGCCACAAACCTCGGTGTCAGTGTCCATTCACGGACAACAATGAAGCAGAATAAGTAATGAGCTCTGTGCTGAGGTCTCCTCCTCGCTCGATGCTCAGAGCAGCTTTGAACATGAACCTTGAGGAGGCTGAATGCTGAGGACAGGAGAAGAGCGATGATCTGACACAGAGCGTTTATGCTGCACTACCAAAGAGCCCGCCGAGCAGCACAGCACACAAGAAACTGACTTTTGTCCTCTTTGGATTTTGGGGTGAGAAGCTTTAACAGCGAGGACACTGGAGACCAGGATGAAACTGGTGACCCTCCTCAGCTGGCTCACAGCCTTCTACAGGTTCAGTAAGTAGACCTCTCTTCATTATGCTGTGATTGTAGTTTGTTCACTGATATTAATCCAGTTTCATGTTGATTAATGGGCAGAACATTTGATAAACAAGCATGCTCATCGGTAAGAGCTGCTGTTAGTTAGTTTCATAAAGACCTGCACAGGCTGCAGGCGGACACGAGAGGCACACGTGTGGATTATCCCACTCAAAGCTGGTGAGTGTGGAAGTGACTTAATCCAGAAGGATCGACAGCCTTTTATAAAACAATATTAATATATTAATATCCTTAAATCTCTTCCTCTGGCACCATGTGCAGGTCGCACTGACAGTAAACGTCTGTGTTGTTGTGACGAGCCTGTCAGACGATAATAAACCGACGATATAACTAAACTTGTTTCAGATTTGATGTAAATGATCTCCAATCAACACATTTTCATGATGGTTCAGCGTTGAATGGACATCAGTGTGGGTGGGGGTGGTGGGGTTCGTCTCCACTCTGCAGAGTCGTTTATAGGATTTCAAGTGAAACTGAAAATCTAAAAGTTGTCGTTGATGTTTCCTGATGCAGAAGCAGCAGAGCTGGAGACAGAGAGGTTGTTTTTGGGAAAAGCAGGTTTCAAGCAGTTTGATTTCTGTCCTTAACTCAGAGCACAGAACGAGCTGAGAGTCAGTGACCTCTGACCCCGTGGAGGGGGTCG